TAAATGATTATTTTTTGTAATGATCATAAACATTTTGTATGAATGTTTGTTGTTTGTATTTGTTTATGCTTTATATTATGTTATGAAGATGTTATCCAATGGATGATTATTAAATTTTGGGGTTTAAGGTTTTGAACATGTTATTCAATTGATATTGAATAGATAATAAGTTAATTAATATGCTATAAATATAAACTAAACATAAACATATAAAATCAGTATGTAAAAATAAAATCAATATGTTAAAATCAAATCAGTATGAACATAAATCAGTAGTTTTGAATCTAAACATTAATCCGTCTCTCTGGGCCTTTTGCCTCGATAATATACATGTGATATATGAGGAGTGAGATTTGCTATCGTCTCAGCAAGGAAAAACCTAGCAAGAATAATGATATGACCAATACTATCGGTGACAAGGATGGCATGGATGCAAGTGGGATAGGAGGTACTGATGGACCATGCATGAGTGGGCTAGGAATAGGCTCTACTATTGTCTTTGGAGGTGACAATGTCAATGTTAGCGCCTATGGGACAATTGGATGGAGTGGGCACGAGTAGCCTCAATGGTCTAGGTGATCTGAATGCATAAATTGATGGTGTAAAAATCGATGCTAAAATAAACTGACTACTACTACCTGCAACAGTATAGTCAAACCCATCTAATATGGTTCATATTCGGATAAAGCCATCTCTCTAATAGTCATTACTCTAACCAAATCCACTTGCCAAGATATGATCAATAAAAGATAAAGCCGTTGAGTTCCGCTACTAAAATATTAATAACATTATTAGTATTAATATTATATAATTTAAATTAACCAATTAATAAAAAACCTTTAATGATAAAATTTATAACTTACTAAATTACTAGTATGTGTAACATGAACTAGTTGAGACTAGAATCTTGATTGATGCTCTGGATTTTGAATTTAAGGGTATGAAATAGCTATGTACCAAGCATCGTAGTCTGATGAACACTCTCTAAGCATATGACATATCTGGCCTCGATGCTCAATCGATGCAATGTACATATCCCATCATTCCCAATCCTGGTCCAAAAAGTTATATATAAGATCATATTAGTTAAACGATGCTCCTAATCAAGCATAAGACGGGGTCAACAATCTTCGTAGAGTAGTCTATACAACGTCAAACTGGCATAAAACCCTCTTTGGGTGATACGGCTTTACAATTGGCCTGTACTTGATACATCTAATGAAAAAGGCAATCTCATCCAATGAATATGCCTCTCATGTATCAATGCATGAGGCTTAGCACACGTCCAATACTATTAACCTATCCAAACTCTTACGTAAAGCGAGTAATGTATCAGCATAAGTATGAACATTCCATCATCGAGCATAAGATAAATCATCTGAGTATGTCAAATCGATGACTGGGCCCAAGGATGGAAAATGCTCATAAATCCACATCTATATAAAATATATAAGTAATATTAGTTAGATAATCATAGATATAACCAATAAAAAATATGTCAAAATCAAAATAACATGTTTTAGATATAAAAACATACTTGGATAAGTGTCAGATATCCGATGATCTGATGCACATATGCCCCGCTCATAATTGTAAGCTACTTATACAAGTAAGTGAAGTCAGCCATCCCTAAAGCATACCTTTCAGTGGCAGTGAAGTCCTCTAGTAAAGGTCAATACACTATGATCTTGTCACAAAATAATGTACTCCCTACCAAATATAGTAGAAAAGCACGGGATGTACATGCAATTGTCTCATCATTTGATGCATCAATGGCATGCCTTAAGGTTCACGCAACCAAGATAGTCGAATGGTATATCGCTTACCCGATTCAATCTTCCATCTAGCATCATCATAAGAAACTCTTAACAGCCTTGATAATAATTGTTGCCCTTGTACATTATCAACATATGAGGCACTGTAACCAAAGTCCCTCTTATTGGTATGTAAAGAAGGGTGAACACATTGTTTAACGTGATAGTCATCTCACCTAATGGCATATGAAATGTGTTCGTCTCCGACTACCATCTCTTGACAAAAGCGAAGATTAATGTTGCGCTAATGGTATGATAGTTGCAATCAATAAGTGAGGACAACCCTAACTAGACTACATAGGCTCGGATCCTACTCCATGCAAGGTCTAAATGCCATTGTCGTAACTTTGGCCCATGGTTAATCAACTTCAACGGACCTCGCTCTTGTAACAATAACAACAACAACAATAAAAATATTAATACAACATCCCCAATATCAACATCATACGTAATATCATTAACAATAACAACCAGCCACTAAACTCTAAATACATAAACTAACATGATTCGTATTATATAATTTGAGTGATTACCTAGCCGTTTCAAATTTGGAATGCAACATGAGAAGTGAAACTCGAGATAATGGAGGTATCAATTAGACCCTTAGGAATGACTCCACCAACTCATCTGTGGTGGAAGTCGAAGGGTCAACCTGAGGAATCTCATCAACCATACGAATCTCAAGCTCATCATCCCCCCAACTCTCTGTCTTCTCTCGAAGGCAATTGGATCCCTCTAACTTGGACCAACATCAACTCCAGTCTCTATCTCTGGTATGAGTTATAAACATAATTTATTAAAATTGTCAACTTAAAGATAAATTTACAAAATATATTAATTCATGATAAAATTGAATAAATTTATACAATTAAAAAAATGAATCTTTGAGATTCTTAAAAATCAATTATCGAGAATTTTAAGATCTTATCAAAAATCATTTACCAAGAGCCTCAAGTCTTCTTGATTGATTTTCAAGAGACCTCAAATCTTCTCGAAAATTAGTTTTGGGAGGCCTTAAGTCTTTTCAAAAATGAGTTTCTAAGAGGAATTTTACCTTATCGAACACATATTTTCGAAAAGACTTTAAGGATTGTTAGAAATACATTTTCAAGAAGACTTAAGGTCTTTCAAAGATCTATTTATGAGAATATCATATGTTTCCCTTAAATAAAATTTTGAGAGTTCTCGAATTTTTTCAAAAATGAATTTTTGAAAAATTTAAAGCCTTTTTGAAAATATAGAAGCTAACCTAATTTTACTATAAATCTTATATCCTAATTCGACATGAATTTCAACCGCATTTCAACTAAATTAATAAAAAAAAAAGCTGAAAATGTTACTTTTAATTCCCAAATCTAATGAATTCCCAAAATCTAATGGAACGAGTGGAATTACTTTTTAACTCTCTGATACACGAGACAATGAAGTTCATAATCGCAGCTTTATCCAGGCAGCAGCACGTGATCCGTGATGCTACAAGGGGGGGGGGGGCGGGGAGCGTGCAACTTTTATCGAAGTCAACGTATAAACGATCTCAATCAAACACGATACGTGTCTTCCGGTCATACGCCAAGTCGTCTAGCCAACCATCAACTCCAAAACGTTGACAAATTTATACTTGGAACTTTCCGCCCATTTTTTTCATTTAATTTTCTCTACCCATTATTTCCATAAATAAATAAATAAATAAATAAAAAGAAAACTAGAATCGACAGCATAAATGTTAAAAAAAAAAAAAAATACAGCACAAATATGAGTTGGATGGAATATTTTCTGTTTTTGAATAAAATTTTATACATGTTTTTTTTATTGATACATAATGGATATGTAAAATTTTTTTCATAACTCTTTAAAAAATTAAAATAAATACTAAAAAACATTTTATTTATAATTTTTATTACATTCATACAATTAGATAATCATAATAAAAAAATTTAATAATAGTCCATCTTATACAAAAAAATTTTGTGAACTTTAGTACTAAATTTTAATTGATTAATTGCTATACATACTCTTTGAATATTCAATATTTATTAAAAAATAAAAATTTATAAAAAAATCCACTCATTAATAACAATTTAAAACAAATAAAAACTTCAAACAATACACATTAAAGTAAAGTTTATTTTTGCACTCTAATATCAGACACATGCTATATAATATAAGTTTTTTGAATTGAATTTCCATCAACGGTGGAATATTAGTATTTATGTTTCAATCATCAAATTTAGTTTACCACAATATCAAATACAAAAAATTTAATTAATTTTATTTTTTAAATTATTTACACATTCTACTGAAATATTATCTAATGCTTTTATAATTAAAATATTTTTTTTATAAAAATTTAATCAATGTTTGAATTGAAGTTTATAAATGAAAGGAAAGGAAAAAAAATTTTTTAAAGGATAAGAAATGATAATCCATTCTTGGAATAACTAAAATGAGTAAAGGAGAGGGAATGAATGAATTGATCACAACTTTTATTTGGTTAAATTATAAAAAGAATAGGAAAGAAAATATTATATTATAATTATTTTAATTATACTATTTTAAAATAAAATACTTTTCTATCATGTAAATAATTTTACTATTAACTATTTTAAATAATTTTATAAATTAATAAAATTAATTTCAATTAAAAAATTATAAATAATTAATTCATAAAAATATATATTTAAAATTATTTTTAATCTTTTCGTTTCTTTCCCGTTTACCTAGAAATATTTAAAATTAAAGTTTAAGAAAAAAAAGGAAAGACGTTCAATTTTTTTATTTTATTAAAATATAAATGATAAACTAAATAAAAAAAATTTCTTATTTCACTTCTTTTTTTTTCTTTTCTTTCTTTCACTTCTCTCAAACACAGAATATAGCCTTAGTAATTATTTCTATCAAATAAGGAAAAGCCAAAACACAGATTTGTCGGCAATGATTTTGGGCTTGACGGACGCTACTTTTGTTACTTCCCTATTTGTAGAATGATGTTAGATTTTTCCCAAAAAAAACTTATTTGATTTGATCACAATGAATGTGGGGGATTTTATTATATCTTTAGACTTTGAGACGCCCTTGTAATGAAAAAAATAAAAAATAAAAAAACAGCGAAAGAAAATATTAAATTAATATCATAATTGTCACAATCATGACGAAATTATGCAAAATCACATTTCTTCTTTGAGGTAATTTCCATATTTTAAAAATGTTTGGCTAGACTTTGTCCATTCTCCCAAGAAAAAAGGAAAATTTTCCTTAGAAACAAACCAACCAGCATACCTCTATAAAAACCATCCCCTCTTTCTCTTCACTCTGTTTAATCTCTCCAGCAAAGTTCACCACCGACCAAGAAGAACCCCCCCCCCCCCACCCCCCGGCATCCAAAGAATAACATAGAAAATATGTCAAAGGAAGAAGTTTTCATCGGCTCCGTCGACCAAGGCACCACCAGCACCCGGTTCATCATCTATGACAAATCTGCTCAACCAGTCGGATCCCACCAGGTCGAGTTCACTCAGTTCTACCCTGAAGCGGGGTAATTCTTCGAAACTAGCTATCCTTTATATATATATATATATATATAAGTATGTATATATATATGTACGTATGTATTGTATGTATGTATTTATTTTTATTTTTGTCCCAAAGGACAGCCAAGGGTTAAAATTTGAGACTTTCCAAATGAAGGTTTCACGTTGGAATCCTGAAAAAAAAGACAGAAGTATTTTTTTTAGGATGGATATTCAATATTTATAAATAAAATAAAATAAATTCTTTGATTTTGAATAAGGATGGTGTTTTTTCACTTATATAAAACTTAGGTATGATGGATATTTCATAAAGATTGAAACTTTGGTGTTTTTATTGATTTTTTTTATGTAAAATTGTTTTGAAATTTGGTGGTGTTAGGTGGGTGGAGCATGATCCAATGGAGATATTGGAGAGTGTGAGATTGTGCATTTCAAAGGCAGTAGACAAGGCTACAGCTGATGGTTACAATGTGGACAGAGGATTGAAAGCAATTGGGTTGACCAATCAAAGAGAGACAACTCTTCTTTGGAGCAAATCTACTGGTTGTCCTCTCTATAATGCCATCGTTTGGATGGATGCTCGTACCAGCTCTGTTTGCAGGTAATCCTTTTTGTCCATTTCCTTTGCTATTCTTATTTGTTAGTTGTTTGCTTTTTTTTTGGTTAAATTTTTTTATAATTAAACAAAATGGTCTTATTTTGATCTGTATTTTACCTTATTTTTAATGGGCCTAGTTTTTTGTTTGGTTGTTTGTTTTTGAATTGGGTGTTAAAACTCTTTGATTCTTGATAAGTTTCAATCTTGAACTAGAAATATATTTTATACTTGGAATTGGGTTGATGTATATTCCTTGGTTTTTTGTAATTATGAATTATGTTATCGGAATGACACCTATAGCTATTCTGTCAATAGACAGGTTCTGAAGTTCAGTGTTTTTTTCAGAAATTGCTGTTCTTTTATGATAGTTTGAATTCCATATTTTGATGTTTGAGGTGGCTTTCTACTAGGAAATTGGAGAAAGAATTGCAAGGAGGCAGAACACATTTCGTGGAATCATGTGGTTTGCCCATAAGCACTTATTTTAGTGCAGTGAAGCTGCTATGGTTGATGGAGAACGTGGATGCTGTTAAAGCTGCTATTAAAAAGGGAGATGCGTTGTTTGGAACTATAGACACATGGTTAATCTGGAATTTAACCGGAGGCATAAATGGTGGATTACATGTCACTGATGTCTCTAATGCATCACGGACAATGCTCATGAATCTCAAAACTCTTGATTGGGATAAAACCACATTAGAAACTCTAGGAATACCAGCTGAAATTCTGCCCAAAATTATAAGTAACTCTGAGGTCATTGGTAAAATTACCGAAGGATGGCCTATTCCTGGTATTCCCATTGCAGGATGTCTTGGTGATCAACATGCTGCAATGGTTGGGCAAGCTTGCCGAAAGGGTGAGGCCAAAAGCACTTATGGAACCGGTGCCTTTATCCTTCTCAACACAGGTAATGAGATAGTTAAGTCAAATCACGGGCTCCTAAGCACAGTTGCATTCAAGCTTGGTCCAAAAGCACCGACTAATTATGCTTTAGAGGGCTCTATTGCTATTGCTGGAGCTGCAGTTCAGTGGCTAAGAGACAGCCTTGGGATAATTTCCAGTGCAAGCGAGATTGAACGTTTGGCATTACAGGTTGATTCCACAGGTGGGGTTTACTTTGTCCCTGCTTTTAATGGATTGTTTGCTCCATGGTGGCGAGATGATGCTCGTGGGGTTTGCATTGGAATTACAAGGTTTACAAGCAAGGCTCATATCGCTCGCGCGGTGCTTGAAAGCATGTGTTTTCAAGTGAAAGACGTATTGGATTCAATGCACAAAGATGCAGGCGAGAAAGGTGAGGTTAGGAATGAAACGGAAGAGTTCTTGCTTAGAGTGGATGGTGGTGCCACTGTCAACAACCTCTTGATGCAAATTCAGGTTAGGGTTCTATGCTATACCTGCTGTTTTCTCTTTTATCCCTTGCAATTATATTGCTTCTTGCTTTCAATGAATTTAAGCATTCCAGTATTTATTTTCTACTTTTTTTTTTTTGGTTAAAAATGCTACAGTAATCATTGCTCAGTTCTTGTCTATTTAGTTTTTGTTGTTCCTTTTGGGAATTCCTCCTCCTCCACTCTGTTCTTTTCCTCCGGAGACTTCAGTCATCCTTTTTACTGTGCTATAGATACGTTCATATTATTTCTTCATCATTAGCAATTTCTCTGGTTTATTGTCAATCGGTATTTTTATGGTCCATGATTTTGCCATTGACCATACACACCTTTCGGTTTTTTTTTTTTTTTTGTTCTATTTATCTCTGGATGAATTCTTTAGGTTTTCTTTTTCTCTTGTCACCTTTGCGTTCTGACAGGAGATAGAAGGTGGAAAATATTGTATGAAACAAAAAACTATGAAGGTTTAATATGATTATTATAGGACTATAATAATCAAGAGCCCTAACTTTTTTCTGCTATAAATATACTGTAGCATATTTTTGTAAGAGTAAGATTAGTACAGCAAGATCCTTCATTGTAGATTAATAGTATAGATCCAAAGTCCATGGATTTCAAAAAAGTTTTTTTTTTTCCATTTTTTTGTGTGAATTTCATATAGACTTGGTAAGCAGTTGGCTGAATGCATGAGGCATGTTCTTGATGGCTTGATTTTCTTTTGGCTTAATATCTCACCATATGAACTTTAACCTATTTTTGTTTGTTGATGCAACAGATGCTTGGTAAAATCAGATTCTGTCAATTCTTTCTCTGTACCCTACCTTTTAATTTAATTAGAAATTCATGGAATTGTGACTTTCTTGTTTCTTCATTTGAACAGCTGGTTTTATGCAAAAATAATTTCTTTGGAAGATAGTTTGAGTTATTTTTTCAAGCAGAAATAGTTGATCAAAAAAATATTGGTCTGTTTTGTACTAGATATGCAATGCAGTCTCCATGTTGTCTGAATTTGCATTTAAAATAGAAATTTCTCTCCACTGAAGAACTTTTTCTTAAAATCTCTGCTGCCATGCAACATATAAAAGTTGGCACTCCAACATGGAATGAAAATGCAAGAGACTTCTTCTTAGTGATTTCTTTTTCTCTTTTATTTTTCCGTCGAATGACTACTATTCCATGTTGAGACCCTGTCTAAACTATTCATACTTTGTCATGTGATCATATAATTTCTTTTTATTGGGATGTTTAGGCGGACTTGCTGGGGAGCTCTGTGGTGAGGCCAGCAGACATAGAAACAACAGCTCTTGGAGCCGCATATGCTGCTGGATTAGCCATAGGAGTGTGGAAAGAAGATGAGATTTTTGCTTCTGGACAGAAGATTAAAACTTCCACTATATTCCATCCCATACTGAGCGAGGAACTAAGGAAGAAGAAGGTGGGTTCTTGGTGCAAAGCTGTTTCAAGAACTTTTGACTTGGCCGACCTTTCTATTTAATGCACAGTCAGTTCTTTGTTATGGGTTCCTCTTCTTTCTTTTTGCTCTTCCTTAAATGATGGTTGTTCTGTTTCCGAACAATTTCTAGTCCTCGTAGGTTATTGTGAATGACAGACAAATCCATGGTTTTATCGAATTGAATAATTGGTGATAAAATGCTTACATTCCTAGCCATTGCTTAGCTTCAATGATTTTTTAGTGCACGTCTTTTTTAATATTTGAGGCTGTCAAGTTTAATCTCTTATCGCTAGAAATTAAGAATTCAGCACTTTTCCGTCACACCACGTGACTGCTGTTGTGCATATCATCTGAGCTAAATATATGTTAGACGCTGCCATGTTTAGTTGACATTTTCCCATTGTTACCTGGTCCATTGACAGAAGTGTTAGAACTGCGAATTTTATAGGATTAATGAGTATTTGTGAATCTTACCAAATTGCTTACATTACATAAGTCAAGTTGAATTAAACATGTTTCAGTATGAAAATAAAAATGGCAAAAAAAAAAAAAAAAAGCGAGCTAAAAAATAGCTGGTAATATCTCAACACCATAAACTGTAGTCTATTATGGTTTTCCTTGCTTTAGCAGATTTCATGTGCCTTAAAGATAATAGGCTAAAATACTAAAAAAGTTCGTATATTTTTAAAATTTTGAGATAAATCCATATCCTATTATTGTGCTCAATTAAACTAAGCATTATTTTTCTAATTAAACCTTTAAAGCACAAAATTTTTTTTTCTTATTGAACCTTTAATGTTATTTTTGTTTAATTAAACCCCTATTTATTTAAGGGATTTTAGTGGTTGTCATGCAAAATAAAATTTTAATTAAATAAAAATAATATTTTAAGGATTCAATTAAATACAATAAAAGGATAATGATTTATTTGAATGTTTTGAAAAAGCATGGGAATTTTTTTAATATTTAACCCAGGTAGTATAAGGAATTGAAAATTCAATGGAAATAATATTAAAGATACTGAAAAAATTAGAAAACTAGAACTTCATAAAGGTAAATTAATTAACACCACTTATATACTTATAATATATATATATATATATATATATAATATAGAAGATCTATTTACATAAATGTAAAATTAATTTAGTTTTTTTTTTTTACTTAAAGCCGTAAAGAATTGATTTTATACACTTTTATATCTTTTTATAGGATTTATATTTTGTTATTCTAATCATTAAATTTTATGATATATTCATGTAGATCGTGCATGTCAAATTTTAAAATTATTGAAACTATTTATGCATATCAAATTTCAAAATTATTGAAAATGTTTAAGTATTTGTTTGATAATAATAAAATTTCAACCGTTAATATTCATTAAAAAATACTATTCATAATTGAAATGATAGAAGTATTTGATTGATTTGAAACTTTACATACATGGGACAGATTTATACATGTAATTGTAGGGGTTCAAGTATCAAAATTCTTTAAATTTATTATAGAAAAATCTCATAAATTTTAAAAATTTCAAGCTTTGGCCCTACTAAAAACTTTTTTATGATATTTGTCTCTATTGAATTAATGATCATGAAAAAAATTTTTATTGTTTATCTAGTAATTGAACATTTATACTTTTGGTGATAAGCAATTTTATTATAATATATATATTAGTTTTGAAGAAAAACAAATAAACAACTTTTAGAGTTTATATAGATAACATATAAAGTGTGAATTAATAAAAATAAAAAATAAGAACAGATATTTAACTAATATAGACTTATGTTTTTATTCTTGTTTTTATTGTATATAAAAAAATATTGTTTTCATTGCATATGAGAAAATAAATATTCGTTATTCTTCATATTATAATGAATAAAAAATGAAAGTAAATAATAAAACTAAAAATATTGATTTTTATTCTTTCACATGTTATATGTATATTTAAGGATTCTATAAGTAAATTTTTATTAAATAAATAAATATATATACATACATATTTATATGTGTATGTATTTGCATGTGTGTGTATCGAAAGATGATTTATCTATAATATAATAGTGTTTAGGCTACATTTGTCAACAACCATATAATTAATTTTAGCTATGCAAATATTGTATTTATGACATAAGATTCATAATTAATTTTTTATTTTATAATTGAATTATTAGATTAATAAGTTTGTTATTTTTATCCTTTATCATATTTTTACTTAGCAAAACCTTAAATAGAAAATTAATTTTGATTTGATTATATAAGGTGAAATGAAACCTTATATTTCGAAGTCCTGAAATGGAGAAAACTTATTTGATATGGGATTACAAATGAAATGGTGAAAGATTTGGGTCTTGCCTCTTTGCCGATCAAATTCATTCACACTAGTATATATCCAAATAATAGGCAAACAAACAACAGACATTAAGATTTGTATTAAAATAAATCTACACAAAAGAATTGGATTTTATGATGAAGTGAAAAAAAAATTGGATTTTATGATGAAGGCAAAACATGAGTTTTGGAGGATAGGAAGGGGGAAAAAAAAGGAAAAAGAAAAGAAGAAGGAAATGAGCAAATTGACCAAATCTGATGGACCTGACCCAGAATCCAACTAAACCCGATCTTGCTTGAACCATTTAATTGGGCCTTATTTTTAGCTAAAATTCAAAGCCCAAGTGAGGTATAATTTTTTTATTAAGAAAAGGCTATTTTAACATTTGTTTATTTGCTTTTAATATATGTTAATGAATAGAAATATATTTTGATAATGATAAAAATAAAGTAAATTCTTTTGTGGATGATGGAACTGTTGTTAAAATGTTTTATGAATTATTAATAAATATGGGATCATTTAATTTTTTAAAAAAGATAATATTTATAAGTAAAAATGGTGTTTTGGGAATTTTCTTAGACGTTAGTGGAAATTTCGATAAGAATTCTTTACAAAGAAATATTATCTTTAATTTGAATGGTTATTGTGAAAATTCTCAATTGAAATTTTTTTTTCTTAATTACATCTAAATGTTAAGGAATTCAGAAAAAATTTTCAATAACAAAGGTACTAACTTTATTCATAATAAAAAGATCCATTTTTCTAGAAAGAGAATTTGGGATATTAAAAGGAATTAAGGAGATTATTTTTAAGAATTAAAATTAAGATATTTTTATCTAGATATAAAAGATGACATGTAATTAATAGATATCGTTTTAAAAAATATGCTATGAAGATGCAAATATTTTTCATACATATAATCATACTTATGAATCCAAATTTTATTTTTCGTAACAAAAAACAAATCTTATTAATATATCTTAATTAACTTTACGATTTTATTAAATGATAAATTTCTTAAGGGCCAATTACAAATAAAAAAAATAAAAAAATGATGGTAACCCTATGTACTTTTGAATTGTCTATTGAATAAGTTTTAGGATATAATCATTATGATAGCTATAAGCGCACACATTGAAAATATACATATATTTCGTAGACTTATGACATAATATATTTTTAAAAATCATCAATTGTCACATCAACATTAAGAGAAAATTTTTTAAAAAATTTTAAAAAAGTTAAAATTTTTTTTAATTTTAAAAATTTTTAAATTAAAAAATGAAACATTTTAAAAAAAATTATAAAAAATAAAAAAATTATGAATTTTAAAAAAATTCAAAAAATCTAACAAACATTAATAAAAATTCAAAATTTTTTGAAAATTCAAAAATATAAAAAAGTTGAGTAAAAATACAAATTTCTTAAAATTAAAAAAAGATTCACAAAACTTAAAAGACTGAAAATTAAAAAAATAAAAAATTTTAAAAAAATCTAAAAATTTAAGAAATTTCTAACCAATTTTAAAAATTTTAGAAAACTTAAAAATTTTCAATAAATATAAACATTTTAATAAAGTTATAAAAAATTAGGGAAATATAAAAATTAAAAATTTTAATAAAAATCCAAAAAATTCAAAAAAATATAAAAATTAAAAAAAACTTAAGATTTTTATTTTTTAGAAAATTTTTAATTTTTAAAATTTTTAAAGAATGTTATAGATTTTTGACAATTTTTAATTTTTCAGGCTTTTACAAATTTTAAAAATTTAAGATTATTGTGAAATTTTCAAAATTTTTTTTATTTTTTATTTTTATGAATTTTAAGAAAATTTTATTCTTACTAAAATTTTTATTTTTTGAATTTCATAAAATGTTTTTGAATTTTTTAAATTTTTATTAAACTTTTGTGATATTTTTAATTTTAAAAACACTTTAAGATAGTTATTTTTTTTAATTTTTAAAATATTTCCAAAACTTTTTAAAAATTTAAAGAAATTTTAAAATTTTGTTTTGAAATTTTCTTTGAGTGTTGACATGGCAATTGGTGTTGTGGCTTTGACGAACTTTTTAATATATATCAGTATCTTATTGGATATTCATGCCACATCAGTAAGGTGTTTAATGAAGTTAGTTCAAGGTATCAAAGTAAATGGTAGAATAAAAGTTAAAGTATTAAGCTGATGATTTTATTTATTTAGATACAAAATCGATAGAATATGTATGGATATGGGCAAATGAATACTTAACTCTACATAAAATTTTGCGTTAATACATCTATAGTCCCTAAAGTTTGACTCAAATGCTATTTTGGTCCTTAATCTTTAAAAAGTTTTAATTAGATATTTACTTATTGAAAGTTATCTTATTTTAACATTTTCATCTATGAAATCATCTAAATTGATGATAAATGCTAGTTAGTATCACGTAATAACGTCAGTTGTATCACACGTGGTAGAAGAGGGATTAATATAAAATTTTTTCAAAGTTTAGGGACCAATGATGAAATTATGTCAAATATTTTTTATATTTCATAAAATATTAAAATTTAAAATTATATTTTATATTTTTTGTTGTAATATAATTTATTAGTTAGACTGCTTGTTTTTAATATAAAATAGATTTTCAAAAATTAAAATTAAGTTAAATTTTTTAATTTTTTTAAAAATTTAATATCATTTTAAAAGCAAAAAATATTTTTCTATTAAAATATTATTGTACTCATAAATCATAACAAAACATTTTTTTTCTATCTGAAAATTTTATTTTTTAAATATTATATATTTTTTATTTTTCACTTTTCAAATTTTTTTTATAAAAAATAGAAATATTTTAAATTATATTTTTATTTTATATGAATATAAAGTTTCTAACAAAAAATAAATTCAAATTATATTATTTGGATAGAAAATAAATTTTTGAATAGATTAAGAAGTCTATTTCTAAAATGATATGGAAATTCTTACATAATCTTTAAAAATAATATAGAGTTTTTGTTTAATTTTTTCAAACTGATGAAAAAATTCTTACTTGATTTTTTAAAATGATATGAACTTTTAAAAATTTATTTTGAAAATTTTACTTAATTTTAATTTTTTAAAACTCTATTTTCTTTT